CTCCTGGGCTCAAGCGGTCTTCCCTCATCAGCCTCCCAAGTAACTGGGACCAGCAGCACATGCTGCCACACCCACCTAACTTAAAAAAATTTTTTTTTTAGAGATGGGGTCTCTCTATGTTCTTCAGACTGGTTTCAAACTCCTAGGCTCCAGCAGTCCTCCCACCTCAGCCTGCCAAAGCGAGGGGATTACAGGTACAGGCCACTGCACCCGACCTCATTCTCTTAATATGTTTTAAAGGTCTCAAACATGTTCAGAGCCCCCTGAAAAGCTCATAGACCCATGGCAGATGTGGTATCTAATCGGTTTTTTTTTTAACAGCAAAAAAAATCTCCACACAGATGGAAGAATGGGAATAACTGGGGCAAATGACAGCTGTGAATAAAACAGACATCCAGGAGTCACAGCTGCCAATCTTTCCTCCAGGAAGCCCACCTGGATCGCATCAGTTCATGGCACTCTCTTCTGCCTCTTAGTCCTCAAGAGGTGTCTGAAGCTGGCTTCAGCTCTTCCTGCGAACCTATTTCAGTGGTGATCATGGTCCCCTGGGCCAGAGACCTGAGCCGCCCCTTGGATGTCTCTCTGGCTCCTCACACTCGAGGCTCCATGCTGTCCTCAGGATCTCTCCCAAAACAGCTTTTCCTCACACGTCCCTGTTTCAAAGTCTGCCCCATCCAATCCCTGGGCCAGGAGCCCTGAGCCTCACCCTGAATCCCCTCCCTCCCTGCAGTCCATCAAACTTATGACCCATTTACTCGGCCTCCTCCTCCCTGCCCCAGCACTGTCCTCACCCTTCACCCCTTATCTTACTCCAGTCTCCTCCCTGGGTACCAAGCTCTAGTCTCACCCCATCATCTTTCCCCCACTTGCTGACTCAACAACTGTTTATTTATTTATGAGACAGAGTCTCACTGTGTCACCCAGGCTGGAGTGTAATGGCGTGACCTCGGCTCACTGCAACCTCTACCTCCTGGGTTCAAGCGATTCTCCTGCCTCAGCCTCCAAAGTAGCTGGGACTATAAGCGCAAGTCACCATGCCTGGATGATTTTATTTTTAGTAGACACACGGTTTCACCATGTTGGCCAGGCTGGTCTCGAACTCCTGACCTCAAACGATTCACCCACCTCAGCCTCCCAAAGTGCTGGGATTACAGGCATGAGCCACCACGCCCGGCCTAGTTCAACAATTATTTTGAAAGCCAAGCTCTGAACTGGACACCGAGGATAAAGTGGTGACCTAGGCAAGCACGTTGAGTGAAAGGTCCCTAAATGCTGCCATTCCTCAGGGCCAGGTCTAAGCCCGCATCTTCCTCTGCTCTGGGTCTCACACCCAGCGCTTCCAGGTCTCTGTCCTAGCCCAATGAGCTCTCCAGAACTCCAGCCCTACTGCTTTCTGAGGCATCCCACAGACCTCTCACACCTGTGGTGTCTCAAATTGACCCAACCCTGCGCTTATTTTTACCGCCCCTACCTGGTGGTGTACCAATCTCCCCACTGAACTGTGAGCTCCATATAATAGGGACCAGGTCTATCTTGATCACTGTGGTGTCCCCAGGATCACCCAGCACAGGGTCAGCTCCCTAAGTTTATGGAATGGTAAGCACGAATGAATGGGAAAATGGATGCCAGGGAAATGTTAGGGTCATGCTATCTGCCCCTACCTTCCACCTAGACATGGGAAACCTGTTTCTTTTCTTTTTTTTTTTTTTTAAAGATGGGGTTTCACCATGATGGCCAGGCTGGTCTTGAACCCCTGACCTCAGGTGATCCACCCACCTCGGCCTCCCGGAGTGCTAGGATTACAGGCGTGAGCCACTGCGCCCGGCCCGGGAAACCTGTTTCTGAAATCAAAGAGCAGTAAGTCCAGGATCTCATCGCCTGATTCCAGTCCTCCTAGGATGCAAGCGCCACTTTGTCAAGAAAATAAAGAGGGCGGGCGCAGACGCTCACGCCTGTCATCCCAACACTTTGGAAGGCCGAGGCGGGAGGATCGCTTGAGCTCAGGAGTTCAAGAGCCCAGAAGTTGAGACTAGCCTGGGCAACACTGGTGAGATCCCATCTCTACTAAAATTAAAATGTTTAATTAAAAGAAGAAAAAGAAAAGAAAGGGAAGTGCCTGGGCGCGGTGGCTCACGCCTGTAATTCTAGGATTTTGGGAGGTCGAGGCGGGTGGATTGCCTGAGCTCAAGAGTTCGAGACCAGCCTGGGCAACAGAGTGAAACCCCCTCTCCACTAAAATACAAAAAAATCAGCTGGGCATGGCGGCGCGCTTGCAATCCCAGCTATTCGGGAGGCTGAGACAGGAGAATCGCTTGAACCTTGGGGCGAAGCTTGCAGTGAGCGGAGATCGCGCCACTGCTCTCCAGCCCGGGCAACAGAGCAAGACTCCATCTTAAAAAAAAAAAAAAAAAAAAAAAAAAAAAGAAAGGGAAGCCATCAAGGACTGTTTTGCCTCTTCCGGGTTAGCTGGTAGTGAGCAGGAGAACGAGGAAAGGCAAGCGGGGCCGCCCTTTTCACTTCCACTCACAGAGAACCACCCGGAAAAAGCGAGAGCTGCAAGACCCAGCCTTTCCGCACCAAGACTTTGCAGCGTCGGGGCCTGCGGTTAGCCCGGCAACCGATGACGTCACCGATGGCGCGTTCGTGACGTCAGAGGCGGGCGCCACACTTGAAGACGCTGAGAGAGGCGGTGGCGGTGGCACCGCTGCGGCGCTGTCATGGAGCTAGCACAGGAAGCGCGGGAACTGGGTTGCTGGGCGGCCGAAGAGATGGGGGTGCCCATGGCGGCCCGGGCCCCGGAATCGACGCTGCGCAGGTGAGGATCCCTCCTGGAGTGAGAACTCCCCAACCGGGAGATTGGGTCTCCGGGAGTGAGAACTCGACCCCTCATTCTCCATCGAGAGCAACCCGAGTTACTGAGTGCTCCCTACCCTAGGAGGCTCCCCAGAGTGAGGTCCCTAGCACTGGTGAGGATTCTCCACGAGTTATCGAAGACCCCTCTCCTTGTGGAAATAGGATGTCCAGGGTGAGGCTGTCCCCGTAGCACCTCCCCTTCCCACACTTACGCTAACCAAGGAGAACACTCAGGAGTTAGCCGTGGCCACCCTATTGGGGATCGACTCTGTAGGAGTGATATCCACATTTGATCATGAGAACGCACTTCCTGGCAGTACATCCCCCACCTTCACCTCTGGATGTGACTGGATAACCCTCTCCCAGGAGAAAGGGAGCACGGCTGCCCTCTCCCTCCTCCTGCCCCCCGGAATGAGAATACCACCACACTTAGTGCAAAGATCCAGTCCCTACCAAAAAAAAAAAAATGTTTTACCAATTAGCTGGTTGTAGTGATGCCTGCCTGTAGGCCTACCTACTCTGGAGGCTGACGTGGGAGCATCGCATGAGCCCAGGAGGTTGAGGCTGCAGTGAGTTATGATCGTACCACTGCACTCCAGCCTGGGCAACAGAGCAAGACCCTGTCTCTTAAAAAGAAAAAAAGAAGAAAAAAAAAGTATGGGCCTTCCTTCCCCCAGAAATAAGAACTCCCTACTAAAGACTTTCCCTACTACCACGAGAATGAGGATCTGGCACCCTGCGTGCTGCCCCAGGCATATTCTTACACACTCTCCCCACAGGCTGTGTCTGGGCCAGGGGGCTGACATCTGGGCCTACATCATGCAGCATGTGCACAGTCAGAGGTAAGCTGGGCTGGAGCAGGGGAGGGGGCACCAGTGAGGCCCACAGTAACTCCTCCTTCTGCCTCTGCACTGTAGGACTGTCAAGAAGATCCGGGGAAACCTACTCTGGTAACTGCTTCTTAAAGCTATCCCTTCCTATCTTCCCCACTGCCATCAACCCCTGTCCCTACTATGGTGTCACACTTCTTGCCCTCCCCCCTGCAAGCCCCTGTCATCCACTGACTCTGGCCTCATTTTCCTAGGTATGGCCACCAGGACAGTCCACAGGTGAGAAGCACATGCTACAAGTTTATCTTTCATCCAAAAAATGACTTGTAGATCTTCTGCTCTAAGTCCAGCTAGGTTCTGGGTGACACTGGGTCACAAGACAGCCCTGATCCCCGTCCTCACAGGTTTTATAGTCCTGTGGAGATAGCATTAGCTCGGCCAGACACAGTGGGCCACACCTGTAATCCCAGCACTTTGGGAGGCCAAGGCGGGCAGATCACCTGAGGTCAGGAGTTCGAGACCAGCCTGGCCAACATGGTGAATCCCTATCTCTACTAAAAATACAAAAATTAGCTGGGCATAGTGATGCACACCTGTA